GTGTGTGTGTGTGGTGGGGGGGGGCTGGTGCCCATGTGATGTTCTCTGCCCCCCCTCAGGCATGTACGGGTACCACGGGCAGCGCCGCCTGCCCTTCCTGAAGGTGACACTGGCGCTGCCGCGGCTGGTGGCACCCGCCAAGCGGCTGCTGGAGCAGGGGCTGCGCTGCGAGGGGCTGGGCGTGCTGGGCTACCCGGCCTATGAGGCCAACATCGACTTCGAGATCCGGTAGGGCCGCCCGCCCCGCTGCCGCCTGCCCCGCGCCCGCCGTGCTGCCGCCTCCCCCCGCTGCACCTGACATGCCACGCCGCCTCCCCCCGCGCCTGACACGCCAGTCCCCCATTCCAGCCCCCCTGTGTTGGGATTGGTCCCTCCACACTGGGTCCCAGTCCCCCCATTCAACCCCCCAGCATTGGGCCCTCCTCATTTGCCTCCTGCATTGGGGCTGCCCCCTCCCCACTGATGCTGGGCCCCTTCCTCTGCCTCCTGCATTGGGGTGGGGCCCCTCCTCCTCTCCCCCCACCCCTCTGCATTGGGGCCGGACCCCCGCGGGACCCCCCCCTCCCAGTCCCCCCATGCACTGTGGCCCTCTTCCCCATCTGCCCCCCATGCTCCCCTCTGGATGCCCCATCTGTTCCCCAGCCTGGGCCCTGACCCCTCCCCCAGCATTGGGTCCTGCCCCCCTGCTTTGTCCTTGTCTCCCCCCAACCCCCCGTCCTTGCTGCTCACTCGTTCTCCCCACCCAGGTTCATGGTGGACCGGGACGTCGTGGGCTGTAACTGGATCGAGTTGCCCCCCAGCAAATACCGGCTGCGCCCCGAGCAGCCCACAGGGGAGTCCCCCAAGGAGCCGCCAAAGGTACCACGTGGGGTGGATCTGTGAGCGGGGGGAGGGGAGGGGTCTGTGGGCAGGGCGTGTAGCGCGAGGGGTCTCTGGCCTGGGTGTGGGGCACAAGGGGCCCACTGGGGTGGAGTTAGGGTTGGGGGTGCTGCCCCCAGGGCGGGAAGGAGCAGTTGGGGAGCTCTGGAAGATTTGGGGTTTGAGGTCCGGGGGGGCCCAGTGTGGGGGATCATGGGGCTGGGGTGGAGGTGGCAGTCCCTCCCAGCATGCATTGGGGTGGGGGTGAGAAACCCCCAAGCTGACCCCCCACTTCCCCTCCTCCTCACAGGCCTCGCTGTGCCAGCTGGAGGCAGACGTGGGCTGGGCAGATTTCATCAGCCACCCCCCCGAGGGCGACTGGCAGGGCATCGCCCCACTGCGGGTGCTGAGCTTCGACATCGAGTGCGCCGGCCGCAAAGGTGGGGGGCAGCCCGGTGGGGTGGGGGCAAGGGGGGCAGCTGGGGTGTGTGTGGGGGGGAGGGGGCTGCCACAGATCCTTAGGTTAGACCTCTTAGCCTGCAGCCCCCGTGGGCTCCGGCAAGCCAGTCCCACTGAGTTGGCCCCCGGGGGTGGGGGAGCCGTGCCCCCCTCGCCCAGTCAGGGCGGCTGGTCCTGGGCCCAAGGCGCGGGTATGGGGCCCAGGCAGCAGGGTGCCACCTGCCTCTCAAGCAGACAGACCTCTGCCACCTGCTAGGAACCAATGCAGCACATGGGGAAACTGAGGCACACACAGGCCTGGTCAAAATATTACAGAAAATTCCCACTGTGTCCCAGGGGCGTAAGGGGCAGCCGGTGGGGCGGGAGTGGGGGTTGGGGGCAGCAGGAGATGAGGATGGCTGCCGGGGGAGTGGCAGAACGAGTGAGCTGGAGGGCGTGCCGGGTCCAGCCAGGCGCCTCTGCAGTCAGCAGCGAAAGAGGCACTGCCATCATTAGGGGCCAGAGTGAACACCGAGCTCCAGGCTCGCTGCGGATCCGCCCCCCTATCCGCCGCCCCCTCCATCCCCAGGGATCTTCCCGGAGCCGGACAAGGACCCGGTGATCCAGGTGGCCAACATGGTGCTGCGGCAGGGAGAGCGCGACCCCTTCATCCGCAACGTCTTCACCCTCCACAGCTGCGCCCCCATCGTGGGCTCCCAGGTGCTGTGCTACTCCCAGGAGGCCGAGCTGCTCAAGGTACTAGGGGCTGGGGGGCCCTGTTGGGGGAGCAGGGGGGCATGAGGGGGTGGGGAATGCCAGGGAACATGGGGCCCAGGATCTGTCCTGGCAGTGGGGGAGGAATGGGAGGGGCCTGGGGCTGGGGGGGTCTCTGGCTGGCCCCCCCTGACCCCTTTCGTCTGTGGCAGGCCTGGGCCGAGTTTGTGCGGATCGTGGACCCCGATATCGTCACCGGCTACAACATCCAGAACTTCGACCTGCCTTACCTGCTGCAGCGTTCCCAGGCCCTCAAGGTAGGGGGGGCCCTGCCCCCATTGCCCCCTGACCCCCAACACCCCCCACCCCCTCTCTGAGCCACGGGGACCCCCTGCCCTACCTGCTGCAGGCCCCCAAGATAATGGGGCCCCCACCCCCTGACCCGCAGCATGGGACTTAACCCACCCCCCTCCGCAAAGCCAGGCACAGCCCCGTGACAGGGCTGGGGGCCTGGAACGCCCCCTGCCCTGTATGGGGGTGTTTCCTGGTCCTGCTTCACTCCCCATGTTCCCCAAGGAGTGCAGAGCTGCCCCCCTGGCCTGACACCCCATCTCACCCCCTTCTCCTCCCCCCCGCCCCCGCTTTCCGGCAGGTTTCCACCTTCCCCTTCCTGGGCCGCATCCTTGGGCGCAAATCCGTCATCCGGGACTCGTCCTTCCAGTCCAAGCAGATGGGGCGGCGGGAGAACAAGGTCATCAACACCGAGGGGCGCACCCAGTTTGACCTGCTGCAGGTGGGGCTGTGGGGCGGGGCGAGGGGCTGGTTGGTGGGGCTGCGGGGCGGGGCGAGGGGGCTGGTTGGTGGGGCTGTGGGGAGGGGGCTGGTTGGTGGGGCTGCGGGGCGGGGCGAGAGGGCTGGTTGGGGGGGCTGCGGGGCAGAGGCGAGGGGGGTCACAGTCTGGGTGCTCGGGAACTGCTCTGAGCGAAGCCAGGCAGTCAAGGCTCGGTTTCAACACTTCCTGGGTCCAATCGCGGCGCGTTCAGCGCCCCGTGAGCCCACCCGGATGGGACCCCTAGGGCAGCTTCCCCCGCCCCCAAAGGGCCCTGCCCCGTATCCCAAACCAGGAGAGTGACCCCTTCCCGCAGCCCAGCCCTGGACCCGCCCGGTGCTCCTCTGGCGGGGACTCACAGGACGTGTGCTCTCTCGGCTCCCTTCGGTCCCTGGGGGGACCCCCTTCAGTGCGACAGCCCTTCTCGGGGGTCAGGCCCCTCCACCTCCTGGAGCTGCACCTCTCTGTGCCTTAGCACGTCTGTCTCTGCCGTGGGCCCCCTCAGGGAGTCTCCTCGCTCCGGACCCCCAGAGGGAATAATGCCCCCCTGTTCTCTAGCCCGGAGTGACTCTCCCTCAGCGTAACACAGGAGGGGTTATTGAGCGTCTGAGCCCAGCACAGGAAACTCTCCGGGCCCCAGGCCTGGCCCCCTTCAGCTCTCCCCGCAGTCCAGAGCCCCCCTCCTTCCAGCCGATCATCCTAGATCATCTCCCCCGTCCTTTGTCTTCTGTCCCAGGTAAATGAGGCGCTGGGACTCTCTCTCTTCCATCCTTTGTTCCGGTTGGTCAGGTTTCCGGGGTCCTCTCTCCTCAGCCCTTTGTCCTTCCACTGCCTTCCAAGCTGGAGTGGGCCTCTTGGTCACCAGTCACTAGGGTCCCCCATCTCCAGGCCGTTTTCCGGGGGTCCCGGCCGCTAGGTGAGGTCACACCTCGTCCTCTGCACCAACAAACCCTCTCCCACCGCCTTGTTAAACACGCAGCACACAGGGAAACTGAGGCGCACACCCGCTATTCATGTAAAACACCACAAAAATCCCCACCTCCGTCCTTTGTCCGGCCACCGGGTCTCTTTGTTCTCCAACGCCTCGGGCAGAGGATGGGCTATTGTCTGTGTCCAGGTGGCAGTACCATACCTGCCCTCTAGGGGTCACTGCAGCCCTCAGTCCCTTGTCCCACCACCTAGATACTTAGGTTTCAGAGGAGCAGCCGTGTTAGTCTGTATCCGCAAAAAGAACAGGAGGACTTGTGGCACCTTAGAGACTAACATTTATTAGAGCATAAGCTTTCGTGGGCTACAGCCCACTTCTTCGGATGCTAGATACTTCGGTAACGCATGGGGAAACCGAGGCACCCACACACAGTATTCAGAGAAAACATTAAGAACAGTCCCACTTGGTCACAGAGGCGCTGGGTGGGGGCTGCGTGTCAGGAGCGAGGGGCGCCGGGGGGGCAGGGGCTGTGTGTCAGGAGCGGGGGGCGGGGGCTGCGTGTCGGGAGCGAGGGGCGCCGGGGGTCTCACGGTCTCGTCCCCCCCCCAGGTGCTGCTACGCGAATACAAGCTGCGCTCGTACACCTTGAACGCCGTCAGCTTCCACTTCCTGCAGGAGCAGAAGGAGGACGTGCAGCACTCCATCATCACCGACCTGCAGGTGAGGGCGGGGCCCCGCCTCTTGGATAGGCCCCGCCCCTGCCCTCTCCCTCCCCATGCCTAACCCTGCTCAGCCCATCTCCCTGGCCTGTGCGGTGTCCTCCCAGCCTGGCGTGGGCTAGCCCTGCCCCCCACTGGCTCCCCCCCAGGCCCCCGACACCGTGTCCTGTCCCCCCAGAACGGGTCGGAGCAGACGCGCCGGCGCCTGGCCGTGTACTGCCTGAAGGACGCCTACCTGCCGCTGCGCCTGCTGGAGAAGCTGATGTGTGTCATCAACTACATGGAGATGGCGCGGGTCACCGGGGTGCCGCTGGGCTACCTGCTCTCCCGGGGCCAGCAGGTCAAGGTGGTGTCGCAGCTGCTGCGCCAGGTGAGGGGGGGTCTCGGGCTTGCTAGGCTCCGTACGGCCCTGGGAGGAGCCCCCGGCTGTGTGACGTCTTCTTGGGGGTCCAGCCCTGGGCCCCGCTGCCTCCCGGGGCCGCAGCGCTGAGCCCCCAGCACCTGGCTTTGCCGCACGCCCCTTGGGGATCCCTTCGCTCTGCCCCCTGGGCTCCAGCCCGCAGGGACCCTCAGCCAGCGCAAAGGGGGGGTTATCATATGTCCCACCCCAGCCCAGGCAGCTCTCAGGGGCCCGGCCTGGCCAGTCCCCGCCCCGGCCAGCTGGGTCTGTCCCGGCCCATAGCCTCCGGCTGCTCCTTGTGCCCTGCCCAGCCCCCCTTCCAGATTGGCCCCCATCCCCCTCTCAACAGCCACCTCCTTTGTCCTCAGTCCCAGGTAAACAGATCACCTGGGCCCCTCTCTTCCATCCTTTGTCCCCCCACCCTCCCCCACTGGCCAGACCCGGCTGCACCCGTCGCTGTGTCCCCAATCTCCAGGCCGTCGTCGGGGTCCTGACTGCTGGGCGAGGTCACACCTGGCCCCCTGCAGCAACGACCCCCCGCCGCCGCCGCCCCCCGTTACACACCCAGCGCACAGGGAAACTGAGGCACGCACCGTGTTCATGCACAACATTAAGGGAAATCCCCTGCTTCGTCCCAGGGCAACTCCTGCCCAGGCAGGGGAGGGGGCCAGAAGGGGTGACTCCAACCCGTTGTGGGGGTGGGGGCTGAGGGTGTTGGGGATCCTCTGGCTGGGCCCTGATGCCCCCACTCCCCGCAGGCCATGAAGCAGGACCTGGTGATGCCCGTGGTGAAGTCGGAAGGGGGCGAGGACTACGCCGGTGCCACGGTCATCGAGCCTCAGAAGGGGTGAGCGTGGGGGAGGGCAGCGGAGAGCAGCCCATAGGGAGCTGAGGGGGGCGGGGGAGGTGACGAGCTGGGGACAGGGGCGGGCGTTCGGTGGGTCTGCGGGGCGGGGTCCCCACGGGGAACGGTGCTGGGAGGGTCTCGGGGGGGGGGGGTGTGCTGGCACCAGGAGATGGTAACCTCACCCCCACCCCCAGGTACTACGACGTGCCCATCGCCACGCTGGACTTCTCCTCCCTGTACCCCTCCATCATGATGGCTCACAACCTGTGCTACACCACACTGCTGCAGCAGGGGGCGCCGGAGCGCTACGGGTGAGGGGGCTGGGGCCCTGGGGTGGGGGGAGACGAGGAGGGGCTCGTGGGGGCAGGGGGAAATGGGGTCCCTGGTGCTA